GGCCCGGAGGCGGGGAGTTGAGGAGCAGGCTGGCCCCAGCAGCCAGGGGTGGCCTTTTTGTGACCGTAATGTTGCTGGAAATAGGGAAGGCTCTCCCTGCCCCGAAAATAGGCTTGATAAGGGACATCAGCCAAGAGGCAGCTTTTCTGAAAATGTAGTGGTGGGCAGTAGCGAATTCTGTTGTCGCCTAGGCATAGAGGAGGTCTTCAAAATACTCAGCTCTGGACCACAGAATAAAACGCTTTGTTAAAAAGATGTAGATTTTAGGAGATTGTGTGAATTTGGTTTAAAACTTCTAGCTTCATGATAGTTTTAAGTGCTGTTAAACTGCTAATCATACTTACAGGTAAATTATGTCTGTAGTTTAAATTATGTCATACTAACAGATTAATTATGTCTGTCAAGGGAAAGACAAATATTAAAAGTCTTGGTGTGTTTTTCACTTAATGTGATCCTCTGTTAGATCAGCTTTAAATGCCTGCATATTTAAGAACAAGTGCTAGAACTTCGACTAGTGATAGTGCATTTTATATATATAATCCTTGCTGATTGCACTTGTTAAATTTCCTACCAATTACAGAACATAGTAACAGGTGTCTAACCCATAAATCTTTTCATTTCAAGCACATGTTTCAACTGGGCCCTTTTAAAACTTAGGGTGTGTTCCACATTTAAAGTTTTGTTTGTTTGGTTGGTTTTTTACTTTACTATATTCTCCTAGTATTACTATTAGAGATTGTACGTGAATTTATGTATGTGAGTTCTACAAAATGTATAAGTTTCATCTCTTTTTTTCAGTATTCTAAAATTTGTTGCACAGATTTACCTTTACTTACCACTCTTGCATTAAGAAAGCATGTAAGTGAATATTTGCTTCCAACGACATTAAAGAATATTTTCAGAAGTGTCAATAAATCAGAGGTGTTTGTATATGCTTCTCTGTTTGCATGTGGATACAATAGTGAAGCCTGTTATTTTTATTCCTTCAGTTTTACAGTAACTCTTCAGGTACAGTAATAGTGAAAATAAGTAGGATATTAAAATTCATGCCTAGTGGAAGCTTTTATGCTGATTATTTTTGGTGTGTTACTCAGATAATGGTAGGTAGCTGGCTTCTTGGTTATTTAAAATGTTTGACAATACACTTTAGTGTTGGGTATGTCCTGTACTTATGGAGGGGAGAAGCAAAATGGAAACTTTACCTGTTTGAAAAGTTGAAAAAATTCAAAATGAGTAAACTTTTATTTACAATAGAGCTTGTCTGGCAAGGAAAGTAACAACTTTATTTCACGTCTTGTTGTTTTGGGTTTTATTTAAAGTGTTAAATAATACCTTCCCAAGCTTCTGAAAAAAGGGCAGTGGGACATTTAATGGATTAATATGTATTATGCAGCTATTGGGCCTTTGAATAAAGTTTTATTATGGAAGGCTTAGCATCAAGTACTGTGTAATCTGACTTGTTGCTAACATCTATATGACAAAAAATTGTTTGCCTGTTTTATGATAAGCTTTCTGTGACAGTTGCAAAACAGCTTTATAAGGCTTAAGGCCTATGTAGTAGTAAAAGTTAAATGTTTTCTAATTCATGTTACTACTTTTACATCTTACACGCAGAAAAATAATTCTATAAAAATGGTCAGAAAATTCCATGCAGTTCTGCTGTTCATAGTTATAGTACTTGCAGAGTTTCAAGAAACTAACTGATCTTTTTTCATGTTAATTAAAAGAGATTTGAGAGGTTTTTCAAGTAAGCTATCAAAGTTAACACTACCACAAATTCCAGCTGCTGTCAAAAATAAAATTTAAAAATAAATGATGGGGGGAGATGACAAAATGGCATATTTGCAGTATGCCAGTTAAAGGAAGACATCATGACAGAACTGAAACGTTTAGCTTTCACCATGAAAAATATGGAAAACCTTAAACCTACACCCAAAAAATTTCATTCCACAATTTATCAGTGAGTAAGGAAGGCATTTATGGTAGAAGGAAATAAACTGTATAAAGTGAATGTAGAAGACATAGCTGGATTACACTGAAGACTTGGTTTAAGGAACTGTTGTGTAAGGAAAAGCATAACTATGTCTTTCTCTCAGAGAAGAGCTTGCTATTTGGCAGTTATTAAGAAATTAAACCCACCTCTCATTCACTTCCTCCTGTTCCAAAAAGCATGAAAGAAAAGCATGTAAGCTCTGTTTATGTTGCACAAGTGATTTCACGGGATAATAAACTCGGAACTGTTCGATTCAGTCCAAGCTACAGTACAGTGAAACTGTAGTACATCAGTTTAGACTGGTGTCAGCTGATAGAGCTATGCTGGGAACACTGAGCATCCTATATTTAAAATCCATGTGTGAAGGTCACAGATATTATGAAGGCAATCAGATGGGATTATGTTGTACAAACTAAATGAATTAATATTAAAAAATCAGTTAGTTGAAGGAATAATTTCACTATCATTTGAATTCAGATCCTTGATTTGTTAAGTGTCGTGAACAAAACCTGAACCGGTAGATGTTGATCTCCTTTCTGGGATTAGAAAACAACAGTTACTAACTTGGTAGATGGATGTGTTGTGGTAAATATGAGCATATGTTCATATCTTTGTGAGAAGTTTTAAAACTAATATTTTAAAATCTTACTTTTAATATATAACAAATCCTTGTTTTGCAACATTTATGCTTTTCTTAGCTAGACAGTCAAACTGGAATGCCTAATAGGAGGACCTTCCCTCCCCCAGATGTATATTTGAATACTCTGTAGTGGATTGTGTCTTTGAAACTTTCATCTTAATATGTGTAGGTATAGACATGAAGAGGAATACTGACAGTAAGTGCAAGAGATTCTTGGGGGCAGTGTTTTTATTTGATGGGTTTGCAAGAAAATAAGCAGATTGAGCTGAATCACCTTACAGTGAGTTGAATGCTGCTGCTAAATATGAGCAAGGGGACTTATGCCTAGTTGAAGTAGAGGCTTGTGATAGCCCAGTTTAGATGTTTTACTCATTTTGGGATACAAAAAGATCTAAAATTCTGAAATTTGTAAATGTTGTGAACTGAAGACTCTGTGTTTCTAGGAATAGCGCTCAGCCAATATGGAATAGTGATTTGGGTTACAAAAAAAAGTTCTTCCTGTATGCAGACCTTTAGAGGAGAACTGTAGGAAAACAATCTAGACTTGTACATCACATTGACTTTCTAATGGCTAGTGCAACTGTTAAGGAAGTTCTAGGTTTTGTTTCCAGTTTTGCCTTTCACTGGCTGCAAGACTGGTTTTAGTTTCCCTTTCCTAGCTTTACTTGTTAATTTGTAAATGCTTTATTAGTGTTCAACTCTCACCACAGGCTGCAAGTGAAGACCTAGCTAAATGAAATGTTAGTTTGAATTTTAAATGCCATCAGAAAAAAATAGTACTAACAGGCTTTTAGATGGATATCTAGTTAACAGAAGGAATGCAGATGCAGGGTTGTTTAGCATTTTTTAATTTTTATGTGTGGCAGCACAATACAAGATATAACTCAGAAGTACATAGTTCAGGTGTAGTATCCTAAGTGATAGGAGAAATTGAATATCTGTCAGGAAATCAGATTCTTTTAGGGAGCATGGCCAAACAGAACATATACTTGCCTTCCATAATTTTACATAAAAGAAGTCGGAAGGACTTTGCTTCACGAGTAGTATGGTCAGTTGAGTATGTACTTATCAGGAATATCTGCTTTTACAGAATTCTGTTTAACAGCGATCATTAACAAAAATCATGGCAACTGCCAGTGGTGAGGTGCACCATCCTGTAGATCCTGGAATCTTAAAGCTGCAGTTTGCTCCCTTCAGTAGTGCCTTGGATGCAGGATTCTGGCATGAACTAACCCAGAGGAAACTCAATGAGTACCGACTGGATGAGACCCCAAAAGTTATCAAAGGATACTACTACAATGGTAGGTAGAAACTGGACATCTTGCTTAGTAGTTTGGATTTTTCCTGTCATTCCTCTATTTGTGTAACATGTTTTAGGTTTTTTGCTGAAATATTAGAAAACGTGGCTGGGTGAGCTCTGAATTCTGGTGTGTCTGTGGGTAATTTATAACTTAGATTAACAAAAAGAGGGAAATTAGTCTATTAAAAGAAGCATGTTGCTGCTTTTTGTCCAGGTGATCCTTTGGGTTTGCCAACTCGCTTGACACTGGAGTTTAGTGCCTTTGATATGTAAGTATGTACTGTGGTTTACCTTAGTTTGTGAAGACACTTTCCTTGCATAACAGTAATGCTGTGATATATAATATTACTTGAGCAAATTCTACATGAAAATAAATACACATTTTCATGAACTTTAGAACAGTGGAGAGACTGCTTTGAGTTTCAAACATTATCTCCCTGGTAAGTCTCACATCCACTCACTGTTTGTTTGTATGTTTATATAAAATACCAATTTTTTACATTTTTTCAGCTCTTCTGCGTAAGGAAGGATATTTCAGTCATCTGATTTCTGGTCAAGTTTTTACAAAGATCTTCATTGAGGATTCATCATGACAATTAGGATCTCAAAACAGATTTTACAATCCCTAGTTGTTACATTTTAATACGTTCCAAAGTATTTAACCTGTATGACTGGAATTTTGTACTTTTGTCTTTGCCCTCAAGTGAAAAGTAAACCAAAGGTGCTCAGCGTACACAGCAAAAATGAGATGAGAAATATTTTTTCCACATGGTTTTAATTTCCAGCAAATGCCTAAGTTAGTATGACTAACATACGAACAGATGTTTTCGTAGTTATTGTCTTGTTTGTTTTAAACTCATGGATTATAAAGTTGTAAATCACAGAAGTGACTTTCTCTGCCTTGCTTGGTCACGATGTTAGGAGCCTAGTGAGGCTCTGTGCATTTTGAGATAGTTTCTTAGGAGACACTATTCCATTAATTTTTATGTAAGGACTTTTAGGTATGATACTGAAAGCATATGCAGTAAAGTGTAATTGGAAGAAAGCTGTGGAATTGGGAACAGAAATTTCAGATTAGGAAAAAAATTGATGGCATCATAGTATTTGAGCTCTCAAATGTTATGATAAAAAGTAAAATTATGAAAGGTCCATTTATGTAGTGTTTAATTATTCCTTCTACTGTAACAATTTTTTGTATTTCTGCTTCTGTACTTTAGGTAGTCAGTTTACATGATCATGAAAAGTTCCCTTTTAGCTTTAAAAATTTTTGGAAACTGCATCACTTGTATTTATTATGTAATAAACATTTGCCATATTTGAGTTTTAGCAGAATGATGTTAAAAGAGTCAATGAAATCAATCAGATCTATAAATTGAGGAAATATTTTAGATGTTTTACTGAATTTACATTTGGAAAGGGGCTAAAATATGTACCCTGTTTGCAAACGGTAGCTTCTTCCGCTGATAATGTTACAGGCTATAAAAGCTATTCAATCTTTTTCTAGTTTAGACTTCCTTTAGGATGTTTTTTAAACATAAAATATTTACCGAATAACTCTTTATGTGAATGAAATACTGACATCTAAAGTTCAGTCCTAATCATTTTTTCTTAGTGCAAATCATACTGGTCATGGATAGTTTATATTTGAACCAAACTTTTAAATCTTCAGTCTGCGATTTAATGTCACATTGCTTATAGATAAATACAGATGCCTGATACATTTTTGAAGTCATAATGTAGATGTGGATTTGCACAGGTTCTTGTACCAGTCCATGTACCATAAAGCATTTTGATCATAAAATGTTTTTGTTAGAACTGTTGTTAACTTTTGTTACTGTGCCTCATCATTTGACAGTTTCAGTGCAGCCTTGCACCGCAGGATAGCTACTGCTACTACCACTGATCATGTTAAAGGCATTAGTATCCAATTCCCACAGAGTTCTTTCTCTTATTCAGGAATGCTTCAATACCAGCACGTTGCTGTCCTGCTTTTGGAACATTGTATAATACCAACACTTTTGAGACTTTCAAATCCTGTGATAAGAAATCACTTCTGGAAAAAGAAGCAAATGAGGTATGACTAAAAATCAAGTCAACTGACAGAAAGAATTTGGAAATAACCAGTGAAGTGCTTCACAGTCTCTGCCCAGATATTGGACATACTGTCCATACTCACCCATGTAGTAGCCTCAGGATTTAACTTATTCTAGAAGGAACCATTTGATGTTTGCTTTTTACTGTTCTTTACGTGAGTAGAAAGTAGCTAATTATAGTTGGAGGACTTCATTCGGTGTTCTACTAGGCTACATTTTAAGCTTAACAGTTCTATTAGAGCTACCAGTGACTTGAATTCTGTAGAGCACAGTTTTACAATTTATCTTGACACCCAGAAGCCAGCACCTGGTTTAAACTTTAGATTGCTGCAGTATATCTGTGTGACAAAGTTATGGCTAAGCTCCAGAACAGCAAGAAGGCTGAGATAAAACAAGAAAAAGATGGCTGTCAAAGGAAGGGGCTAGTCAGAATGCTTTATTTGCTCTTATTTTTTTTTATTTAAGACAAAAATCAAACAGGTCTGTCTCATACAAGTATTATAGCTTCTTGTCTCACCAACATGCAGTGTACTGCCTTGTTTCCAAGTCTCCATTTTTTTTTGGTGAAATTTCTTAGTAGCTTATTCACATATCTGTAGATCCCATGAATGAAAAAGATAAGAGTACAACAAAAGGCTATATTAATATCACAGTATGTTCCATATTGTGCTAGTGTTATTTGTTCCCATACATGAAGAACTGTTCCTGATGTTTGTTTTGTTTTGTTTGATGCTCCATGTTTGATCCATGAACTAATGTTCCTCTTGTTCCCCAGCTTCCATCATTTTTTTGTGTTGGAGAGTGCATGTCTGTGTCTTACCTTTAGAATCCTTTTAGTGTAGATAATAGCGTGGATGAGATCAGTTAGCAAAAGATCACAGTGTATTCCTGGGAATGTTAATTTCAGTATTTTAAAGGTACCTGGAAGAATTAAAGATTTCTGCAGCTGTTCTCATGCTACCTTGATGCTTTGTTTCTCTGTCCTTTCTCTTCTTTCTTGTCCCCACAATCAATGACAGATATGGGAATCAATAAAATCTGGAGCTGCTCTTGAAAACCCTATGCTCTTGAACAGGTTCCTGCTGCTGACATTCGCAGTGAGTAATGATAATATGTCTCATACTTAGAGTATTGTAGAGGAAATGTAGTTTCTTTTTACGAGAAATGCTGTATTAGTATTAGCATATTATGGTTATTAGGATCATTCTCAGACATCTTAAAATGTCTGAAAGCATTTAAAAAAACCTAATAAGGTATTCTCATGTACAGATATAAAATATTTTAGGAAGTATTGTTTAAAAAAATGCTGATGCCATCTCGTAGTTTTTTCAACAAATATATAAGATTATCTGACATGCTTATTAGTAAAAGTAGAGCAACTGTTTCATGTTTAAGAAATAGAAAGTTTTAATAAATAATGCTCCATCTCACAAAATCTGTCTGTTTAAATCTTAAAACATATACAGAGAAGAGAAGTCGTCTACTATTTTTTATTTTCTAAAATTATGGCACATTGCCTTGTGAAGTAAGAACAACTATGGTTAGTATGGTTAGTATCATCAACCATCAATTAGACTAGTACTCCAAACCATAATTTATTCTGATTTATATCTTTATTATCTAATTTCACATTTTTTTTTTCCCTAGGATTTAAAAAAGTATAATTTTTATTACTGGTTTTGCTACCCTGCACTCTGCTTCCCTGATGGAATACATATAATTCAGAAACCAGTGTGTCTTGGTGACAGATTCCCACTAAATCAGGTATTAAAAATACTAAATGTTATGAAGTCTATAGCACACAGCAATTTTGTGGGCCTGAAACTTAAAATTTTTGTTAGTGCATACTGAATTAGTTTGAGAATCTAATTTCTTTTAAAAATCTTTTCTTTCCATATGGATTTTTTGCTTACCTTTTTTTTCATTATTGTATAAAATTTCTCAGCTTAACATCACTTCAGCTTTATTCATTTAGATGCAGGTGTGTTTAACAATTCTTGAAGAGGCAGTTATGTTATTTTTAAATTTTATATACAGCTTATTGAATATGTGGCTATATTCTTGAAATTCATTATATTTTCAAGAAACTTTTTTAAAGGGGTATTCCCTGGAAGAACTAAGTCATTAGCAATTACAAAAGTGTTAATAAAATACATGATTGGACAAGAAGAACTGGATTGGGAAGTCTGTTTTTTTTAGGGGAAAAGTTAACCATTTTTTATAGTTTCTTTCATCTTACAGTGCAAAAGGATGAAAAAAATCAACTTCCCCACATGTACTTTTTTGCTTTGACAGAAGTTAAGGTTTTAGACTAGATATTAGGAAGTATTTCTTTGCAGAAGGGGCTGTTGGGCGTTGGAATGGGCTGCCCAGGGCAGGGGGGGAGTCCCCATCCCTGGAGGGGTTGAAGAGTCGGGCTGAGCCAGCGCTGAGGGATCTGGTGGAGTTAGGAACTGTTAACGTTGGGTTGATGGTTGGACTGGATGATCTGCAAGGTCTTTTCCAACCTAGATGATTCTGTGAATAATCATGCGAAACTGTTTTATCTCAGGGAAAAATGCTTAGTTCCCTTCTTCTCAGAAGACCCTTATTAGTTCTGTAGTAATAAATACCATACTAATACTAGTTATGATCCAAAGACAGAGTTTCAGCTAAATAATGAAAATACATATAACAAAATAAATTGAATAGGTCTCTGTTCTTTTGCTAAGAACAGAGGGACAGATTTACATTCTTATAAAGCTACTGTGACTATCAGAATGAGTTTTTTATCTTGTTTTAATTTCTACTGGTAGATCAGTTTGTGGCAAAAATAATAATGTTCCTGTTTAAATTTGCATCAGCAAATGCTCTTTTCGCACCCAAATTTTTTATCTCAGCTGTTGTGGTCATAATGGACTTTCAATATTCTGAATACACTGTATTTTAAGTTTGAATGAGCTTGCTTTTCCAGATGCTTAAACACTTTCTGTGGTTCTGTATAAGATTATTAAAACTGTTGGTTACAGTCATCTTTTTTGCTTTTAGATACAAGCACTTCAGAAAGCATATGATGAACTTTGCCAGAAAGAAGGAGTTACAGCCTTGCCTTATTTTTTAATCAAGTATCATGACAATTCTGTTGAGATATCTCTGCTGAAAAAGTGGGATGGTTTCTTCCAAGACCAAGGGGGAAAGGTAAGGAGAATTTTGTGCCTTTTTATAACCTACAAATGTTTAATTTAGAAACGGTTTGAAAAATGTCTGTAATACTGAGCTGGGCACAATGGTTGACCAATGGGTAGACTGGGTAAATAGCTGAAGACCAGCAGCTTGAATTGATTATTTTTGCGTTAAGTGTCTCTAGTTCTTATGCAAAAGCCCAGTTATATCAGAGTAATGGTGATCTTGAAAACAAAGCTCTTCATGCTCTGTCTCCCTCATTATCAAAACAGAAACAATATAAGTTTATGAGTTAGCATAAGGTTTAAAGTTTTCCAACCACTTTTCTTACAATGCTATAATAATACGAAACACTTATTGTTTGTATACTAAAAATTGATACTCATATTTTGTGTATTTGTTGGTTGTGGTAACAGTAATCAGGGAATACTATACAGGAGTTTTCAATTCAGCATGTATTTTGCCACATGTGTATGTTACAACATGAGAGCTTTGGACACAAATTGCTGGGAATCTGTAAATGAAGAATGTTCAAGGTAATGCTTTGTAATTTTGGAAGATAGATGTGTTGTGCACTAGAAGAGACTGGGATATTTTTTCTGCTAAATGCAGAGAACATGCATGACCTTTGGGTGAAGTGAGAACTGTCCATTGCTTCCAGGTAGGGAAGAATTACAATGATACATGGAGCAGATGTCATCACAGCAAGAGTTGACTGGCTTGGTTGGCTTGTGTTTATGTATATTGAATTCTGATTTGGATCATGTTGCTCAGCTAACTTTGCTAGGCCTCTCTGAATGCTTTACTGTCTTTACTTTTTGTGAACTTCAAACTTTTTTTTCATCTTGAATGTCATTGAAGTGTTAGGAAACAAAATGCAGAGTTATGGTGAAGGGCTAATAAGTGCAATAAGTGCTAATAAGTTTTTTAAGGAGGTCTTGTCACACCTCATAAAAGTAATTCGCTTCTGTTTTAAAATACTTGATCTTCAGGGTTGTTTTTTTTTTTTGCTTTTCCAAATTTGGTTTTCTGAAATTAAGACCTAGGTCTGCAGTTCTTTGTAAAATAAGAATGTGAAGGCTGAGGTTTTAACTCATATAACTACAATAATGGGTCACAGGTAAGAGTTTACTTACTTATATAGGCACATTGTCAATACAAGAGAAATCTGTAATCATCTGGAATATATTTCTTCATTAACATACACTTAGAGGGAAGTGCCAAAATTTTAGATCTGTTGGATAACTTTTATTGCATCAATACTGCCTATAAAATTTGTTTGTATTTCAGAGAGCCAACTGAACTTGCTCCCCTGGAAAAAAATATGTTTTTGCTGTTGCTGAGTTAGTTTTCTGCTAGTTTATCGAATGGAATCAGTTTACTAAGGGGTCTTATGCCTGCTTGAGTGAGCAGTTGCAAAGCAGCAGCAGTAGTGTATGGTTGGGAGGAGGGGTGGGGAGTGTGCCCCTGTTTCTCCTATCTGCATCCATTAGATTGGTTCATCTGCATTGCAGACTGCTCTAGGGACACCTCACTGATGATCCAGAGTGCAGACCAGGCCCTCTAAGCCCATCTGTAGGCAAAGAAGCAGGAGGGGAGGGCTCTGTAGATGTGAGAGACACAGGTATCACTAGTGATGGCTGAGTTTAGGTGTTCAGCATATCTGAAGGTAGGCCATGGCATCTTCCTAATCTCTGGATGTGTTTTTGTTCCGCATCAACTGTGAAGTAAGCTCCTAATTTAGATGCCTCAGCTATGAGCATGGTATTACACTGATTCAACATGATCCCATCTTGAAGGTTGGCTTTATAAGTGATTTTTATGCTGGTTTTGCTTTGACTTGACATCCTGCTGGCCTGTCCTCTCTACTTTTTTTTCATCATCCCAAAATCAATACAGATTTTTGTTTTGAGAGCAAAGCTTCTGTTGTTGGGCTTCTGCCATAATGGTGTGTATAAGGAAGATGCAAGTACTGTAGTGAAAAGTGTATGTCCATAAGTTTAACTGAACACATCTCAAAGCTGTGGCAAATGCTTGACTGAAATCTGGTGTGACCATGTATTAAACATTTGTAAAAGCATAAAATGTGTGTGTAGGCCTTCTCTGTTCAGAAATTTCATGTTAAAATGCCAGGTAACTGAATATCAGCATGGGTAGATGACCTCTCATTTAGAGCAATTTTATTTGCAGGTGACAGTTGGAGTTTATGATCCATGTAATTTATCCCACTATCCAGGATGGCCACTGAGAAATTTCCTGATACTGGCAGCCCACAAATGGTATCTACTTTTTTCTTTCCTACAAAGGTTATTTATTGGTTGATAGCAAATTAGGCATTTTCCCCTCCATGGCACTTTACTCATATCACACACCTGAGATTTAACTTTTAACCTTGACATGACTCACCTTCAGTGATACTGATTTCGCATATTACTCTGTTTTTTACTTCTGTCAGTCACAAGTTCCTATTATTTCTAACCTTCACATGCATGCATGTACCTGGAAATACGTGCTTCAGAACCTGCCAATACCCTCTAGGTGTTAAAATCTTGTTTAAAGTATTCTATGATTTTATGTAATTAATTACTGCCAAGTAATAGTAGACCTGAGTTTTGAAAATCAGACACTCTGGTTTCCTTGTAGTGTACCTTATTTAATTTTTGGGGACAGAAGCTGGAAGACAGGACACTCTGGTGTTTGAAAAAATGTGTCATTTAAAGTATCAAATAAATTTGTGTTGCTGTAACAAAAATGTAATTAAGTGGCATTTTCATAGTTTCCACTTTTGCCTTTTATTACAAAGCACACACCAGGGAGATGATATACCTCAGTTAGGTATGGCATTTTCTGGGCTGCTAGCTCAACTGTACCGTAGAAGGGTGTGTAAGTGCCCAGATTGCTTTACACATTCTGAGGTACAGAGATTTTTAGACACTAAAGTTCTAATTGTTTTATTTGGGTATTTGATTCATAAGGAGGAAAAATGTTACTATATTGAGAACTAAGATGATTTTGCTTGTGCCATCGCAAAGTACATTATGTAACCTGATGTGAGCTCTTAGTGTTTCCCTGCTTTTTATTCCTCTAAATATGCAGTTTGTCCAGCAGCACTGTATAAATAACAGAGGACAGGCTGACAGTGTCATTTATTTAGAGCTGTTTTACAGCAAACTAGTCATTTTCACATACTAAGCAATTGCTTTTATTTATGTCTCATAAGAATAACAGTGTTCCAGTATTAAGAGAAAAAGTCTCACTCAGAATCCGCAAGAGACTAAATGTGTGTGCAATAGTATTTAAATGAAGTCTCTTTCCTGTTAATGAGGTGGTATGTCTCTCTGGATTTGTCTTTTTTCAAATGGCAGGGGCAGCATTCTCCAGTCAGTTGAAGTGCTTTGCTTCAGAGATAGGACCATGCAAGGGGTGAGAGACATAACACACAGCATTATCTTTGAAATAAAACTTCCGGAGAGAGCTCTTGGCCCAGGTAATACATTTAAAAATAAAATTTCTTTACCATTTTTTTTTCCCTTCCTCAATCACGGTGAAGATAGAAAAACTAAATTAATACTACTAAATCATTGCATATGCTAAGTTATTTCAAATGGATTCTAAATTATTTGAATTTCTGTTAAATGTCCATAAAGGAAATGGTTCATTCTTCAAAAAAGAAAGAAGAGAACATACTCTCTTTTAATTTTTTCCTTGTTAAATTGTATTTCTAATTTTAAAAAGAAGAAAAGTCCTCCTGGTGTCATATAAAATACAAAAACCAGACAGTTAGCAATTAGTCTCTTTTTTTCTTGTTAAATTTGTATGTGGTCCCTCAGCTAGAAAAAATGCATATGCTAATGAATTTGTGATGCAAACTTTCTGTATATTTCTAAAATGGTAGAAGCCTACTACAGAGTGGGATTGATTCTTCAATCCCATAATGAGGTAGGCAGATGTATTTTAAAGCCATAAATTTAAAATATTAGAACATAATCTCAGACTCTGTGTGGACAAGACAGTATCACAAAATTTATCTAGCTCATCCAAGAAGTTCTGAATGCTTTACATACCATTGTTGTGAATTATTTAATTATTATATAATTAGGATATATAATTCTCTATTGAACTTTACAGGTGGGGTCTAGGGAACACAAAGAGATGTTTGAACTTGGCAAAATTTACTGACTTCTGAATATAGCAGTCTGACATTAAAGATCCAGAGAGGAATGATGCCATCCCTCTGTCCTCAATTTTAAGCAAGCTGAACAGACAAAAGCAGCACATTGAACCTGAGAGTAAAGCACTTCTACAAGAAGCAATACTTGCAGTTGATGTAAACCAGCAAAATTTGTATCGCAACATATGCTAGCTTGTTAAGATACAGGTTATTTACAGGTTTAGAATTTGTTGGTTTTTTCTGACAAGGTTAAATCCAACAAAATTTTTTACTTCTACCCTGTGATACTAAGGCTTTCATTCTTTTCTTCCTTTTTCCTTCCTTTGCTTTTTTTTAATGTCAAACAGATTGTCCAAAAGCTGTTGGATGGGAGAAAAACCAGAAGGGAGGCATAGGTCCAAGGATGGTGAATCTCAGTGAATGCATGGATCCAAAAAGGTTTGTTTATTACCTTTTAAATTTCTATAGTTTTCTTTACTTGGGCTTAAGCCATAACAAGTTGAAATCTGAAATGCAAGGACTGTCTGTATCTGTTAGGTAAGAATATACAGTAACAAATATACTGTTTATTGTTTGGACACTGCTGTTGGAGGTAAGGACTGTAATAGAGCGGAGTGCACTGCATGCAGCAGAAATGTTTGTAATTTTTGACTCTAGCTTAAAATTCCAAACATATTATATTTAAAGCTGAGTGGAATGTAGGCCATAGTGTAACAGGCCTGTGGTTTTCACTGAATTCTGTAACCTGCAGGTTGTTAAAAATAATGAAAATAAGCATGCGGAAAAGTTCAGCCTTTTGGAATTGTTAAGAGTGTGACAGGAGAGAGCTCAGGAAACATAGTAATTTTTGTGATTCTGCAGATAATGTATGGGCAATGGATTGAAAACAGTCTAGTTATACAGTCTGTTGGCTCATCTGCTTTCACTGACTACATGTGTGTACTAACTTTGAAACACTGTAGGAGCATGTTGATCTAATGATTTAGGTTAACATATTTTACCTATCAAGCTAAGCCATTTTTGCCTTGCAATTGTGGCCATTCACAGTATGTTCATAGTCATTAGAGAAGGTTCATTTGAGGGCTCTTAATTCTTCAAGTAAATGTAACTTGACCTTTTGTGTGCATACGCAGTTCTGTTAATTCCCAGAGAGACTGTTGGTAATATGCCAACCTTGGCAATTGTGATCTTAAATCCTTGTTGGACAAATAATTTACTGGATACTGCAGAAGTTACGTTCATGATGTATAAGGGATTGAAAGTGTCAGGAATCTGAGAACTGTCATGACCTAACTTGATGAGAGTTTTTCACACCCTGTGTTCTGATGAATTAAAAAATCTGACACTAGGTTGAGCATGGATTTCCTACCTCATTTTCCTGCTAAAACTTCCACAAAGAATTGGTGACATTTTTTAGGGGGAAAATGTATATTTCATGTTAAGGACAGGTGTAACTGGATACAAGAAGCCAGTTAATTTAAAAAAGAAAAATTTATGGACAAATGATCTGTGTCTTCACTCAGCTTAATAGGAATCTTGGCTGAGACACTATTTTCATGCATTGATTTTGTTACTAAAATTTTAATCTTGGATTGTTACCTTTTTCAGAAGCCCTTAGAGACTTGTTCCAAATCATAAGGAAGTATGTGGCTTTAGTGGATTTTTTACAGCAAGCTCAGAGTGGCTAGCTGACACCTTTTCTGCATATCCTAGTTTGAGAACACTTTCCTAGCAAAATGTGATGGTTAATAACCATCTTGTCAAATGTCTACAAACTGTTTTTTTTTTTTAAACTTCCACTTTGCTAGCTATCTTTCTACTCTTGTTTCAGTAGTGATTTGCTCTTCTGTTTTTAAGCAGTACAGTCACAGCTTTTATAAGAATGTTGATTAATGGTTGGCCAACACATTAGTTACAAGAGGAGGTTCCAAGGAAATAGAATATCAGGAACAGTATGTGTATTTATATAGAATGACTTTTGGCACCTTCTGTTTCCTTGTTTTTCCTGTGTGTCTGATTGGCAGAAAGATTAGAAATTTATAGTTAGGACCCTTCAGAACATACTTCACATATCACAAGCAAACAAACAGCATAAACAAAGTTTCTTCTGATCTCCTTGCCATGCACTTTCTTATTAGGTGGAAGTATGCTTGGGGGACTTTGTTTTTCATATTACCTATATGTTAAATTGTTGAATTCTTTCTCTCATTTAAAAAAAAATGTATTGAACTTTTTCAGTTGAAATAGAAGTAATCACTTTGTTGAAGAAATGCAAGAACTTTCAGAAGTATGTTGTTATTTATTTCATGATATAGGTTAGCAGAATCATCAGTGGATCTTAATTTGAAGTTGATGTGCTGGCGGTTGGTGCCTACTCTTGATTTAGAAAAAATTGTGTCTGCCAAGTGTCTACTGTTAGGAGCTGGTACGCTGGGTTGTAGTGTTGCAAGGACCTTGATGGTAAGTCCTGAGTTACTCTTTAAAATAATCTGCTGTTTCTCGTAAATTCTATATTATTATTTATTTTTGAGTGGCTGCCATGGCAAGTAATAGAAAAGTTTTATTCCTCTGTGTTAAATTACACATAATCTGTATTAGTTGATACTATAAATTGCAGGGAAGAGGTAAGACCTGTAGCCAGTAGAAATAACTTGAAGTTCTGCTAATAGTAGATAGTAAGAGAACCTTAGCAGAGTAGTAATTTGTTTTGAATTTACATAAAGAAAGATTGAACAAGAAATTCAGGAATGAATTAACAAGCTAATAGGATCAAATTCACAGTGAAGTACTTGAAGTAAGTTACTGTGCTGATACTTTCAGGGATGTTTACCACATTCCACTGAATTCAGTAGGGTTTAGAGGGGTTACTGTTAAATCTGAACAGACCAAATTTTCCCTTATTTCAGTGCAGGTACAACGTTGTTGCTGTGAATAACTTCAAAAAGCTTTTGTAGCTTGATCTTTCTAGAAAAATTGGACAAAACTCCTCTTGAGTTTCTGGCATTACTCAAAAGTATATGTCTAAGCCCATTGTACTTACCCTTATTTAAATTACTTTCTTGTTTAGGGTTGGGGAGTCAGGAAGATTACATTTGTGGACAATGCAAAGATCTCCTACTCCAACCCAGTACGACAGCCACTGTATGAGTTTGAAGACTGTCTTAGTGGGGGGAAGCCTAAGGCACTTGCAGCAGCAGACAGGCTACAGAAAATCTTCCCAGGAGTGGTAAGATCATTATTTAATATGTGTTAATATCTTCCTTGGAAGAGAACTGACAACTTGAAAAGATTCTAGTAATTAAGCATTATTATGAGTGGGAAAAAACTCCAGGTCTTATGGTGGTTATTGACAAAGCATTTTATTTGAAATACTCCATACCTGTTAAACTTGATTGAGACAATAAATATTTGTAAAATGTAATATAGTTAAGAATCATCTGATTCAGTTTGTAGCATACTGATGGTGAACTAAATTTTTTTTCTGTCCTAGTATGTCATAATGAACTTCCAGTAGTGGCTGCTTTTAATACTGTGTTTTCCCACTCTGCTCTTAAATGTGAGCTTAGACACATTAGTTATCTATTATGGGAGCAGAAGGTCTTGAAGGCAGTAATCAATGTATTGTTGAAATTTCCTATTATGTTTTACACCCAGAATTTGCAATCTTATTTATGTTGATTTTCTACATTAGAGTCAAATAACTTAATCTTTAACTTCCAGAACAGAGAAGTAATTTGTAGCAGCCTGGAGAAGATAACAGTATTGGCCTTTTGGGGAGCCTGGTGGTAGTAACTTACTATTAAAATGCAGTAGTTGAAAGAGAACAAAGGCAAGAATGAACTTTTATGTTGTTTAAGAAGCTTTATCATGAAAGACTCACCAATGGCAGGCTTTGTCCTCTTAGACTCCAGGGATGTGAATCATATGAACATTATTCAGTTTGCATGTTCAATCAAACACATCTAATTTTCAATGCTGAATAAAAGTAGATTTAAGAAAAAAAAACAAAACAACAACCCTTACAAATATTTGCAGTTCTCTTAGTTTCAGTCTTCCTTTGGGGGAAGGATTGATATGGCCTATAATTTTAGAATAGACATGCTCTCAGCTTGCTCTATCAGTGAACAAAATTTTTTAAAAAGAGTATTTAAAATGAGTGCTAGAAGTCACTCAGCTGTTTATAGGGTTTGGTTTTTTTGAATTGAGACTGTCTTAGATTTGGTAGCTGTAGTCACCAGAGCTTAGCTGGCAAACAGTATCTTAACTGCTTAGTGTAATAAGAATGAGTTATGTATACTTACTATGCAATTCTGTATTTAAAATGCCACTGATTATGTTACTAGTCATAATATTATTGAGTGATGAACAGTGGAATGCAGATTGTTATGTTGTTGATGATCAGTGTTATGAACAAGCTTTACAGAAGATAATTTCCAAACATTTTTAGGTTCATTTAGTTTGACCCAAGGATTGCTTTGTGCTTCTGTTTTCATCTGAGTTGATCCTATTATTGTTATTGTTCATTAAATCAGTATTGATACTAAATAGTAATTAAATGAATATATTGAATATTAAACAATGATTCCCAGAATAAAAAAAATGCTAAACATTTCACTTTCAGAACTTTTGTAAGTAAACCAGAAGACACTCTCCGAAAGTTCATAGAATTCTATTTAACCTTGCTGCACTGTAGTGCTACTGTTACTTGGTGATATTCATTTAGTTATAGAAATATTAACTAGTAGAACAAGTACAGAAAAGAAAGCATCTGTGTGGTGTCATACAGAGCACCACCATGATGCTAATTAGGATTTGTCTCACATGATTTGTCACTTTTTAAACTTGAGAAAATTAAAGCAGGAATATTAAGAAGGAATGAGTAGCTTAATTAGAAGAAAGAAAAGCTTCTTTGTGGAATCCTGAATGGTACAGTTTTGCATGTAGAGATAAAGATCAAAAGTAAGTATATGAGTTTTCTTGATAGAAATAATCAAGAAAGCAAAAGACCGGGCTATGTTGAAATTATGATGAGGCTTTTAAAAAAAAAAAAAAGTTAAATATAACCTGCAGAGGAGGAGCTTCCAGTAATAAGGGGGAAACAATAACAATGCTTTACTGAGCCTGTATCAATGAGCATTAGGAGATTTGGTGTACATAGGAAAAAAAACCACTTTTCCTGTTCAGTAATAGCATATACAACATGCAACTCATACTATATGTAAGGAATTTCTCCTCTACCATATGCCTCAAATGTTCTGCATCTACCACTGCTTTCTTAGCGCATTATCCCTATCAGTGTTACTCATTCTCTCTTGTTTCCTTGTGCCATGGATGGGCCACATCTGATTAGCCTTCAGTGGGACTCAGACCTAGTTTCATAGCTTTGTGGCACAATGAGGAGAAAGCAATTGCACAGATCCTCTGTACCCTTATGTTAGAATGTTTCTAATATGTATTTTTTGTCGCACTCATTCCCACAGTAGAATTTGTGAAGAGGTAGCATGTTTGACCATCAGTAAATACACAGAGAAACAACATGGTAGCATTAGCAAGAATTAACATGGCTTAACAGTTAAAAACGCTGGTTCAAACAGTTAATATCATGCTGACAGCATGTGAGAGTGGTGAGGTTTAAGCAGCAGGCCAAACACGTGGACTAACAGTAAGTCTTTAATTAGCCAGGGTGAAGTCATGGTGCTTTGGGACGGTTTGGACAGTGAAGCTATTGCAGTTGGAGATTTTTATAACCGAGCTGAGTTTGCTGGACTTCTCAAAATGGAGCTGCATCTGTTACTGCAGACTGCTCTGTTGTTTGTCATCAAACCTCATATTTATCAGTCTAAATGTCTTTGAATAAAAAGATTAGTTTTCCTGGATGTTAAGCCTACTTGTTTCTGTCATACTGAAGGAGTAGCCAGAGCTGTCTCTTGCTGTTTGGAAACCCACAGTCTTTTAAGCCCATGGAATCCAAGCAGTAATGCTTGTTCTGAGGGCAATTCTGAAAATTTGGTTTTATATTTCTGTGCATTTCACTTGCAGTCTAATTTACTTTCTTTGCTTTCAGCATGAGTGATATTTTGCACACAGTATGCAGTTTCTCCTGGTTGACTGTGAAATGCTTGACTGCTGTATGTGAATTCTTTTTTATTTTTTCAATTTTACATTCTTTCTAGTTGGAAGAGTAACCATCTCATCATTGCAAATGAAACAAGGAATGCTTTGGCAAGGAGCTTTGATTTGTTTCATTCCACTTCTAAGATTATCATTAGCTGTAGCTTAGAGTTTTATAATAAAAAAGAAGGGAGGACTTGAAAACAGCAGAATTTACGGATTTACAGCCTTTCATTACAAGTAGGTAACGCACAGAGTCATTCATATAGCTGCTGTTGAATTAGACTTTATTGGTTCTCTTATACAATCATGTCTTGAAGTATTCAGGCATGGATCTCCAGTGTATCCAGCATTTTATCATCCTTTGTACTACACTGCATGGGGGGCCACTTTATGTAGTTATTTCCAATAGTAGAATTTAATGATGGCAACATCAAATTTCTTAATTTTCTGTGGACCTACCCACAGCACACTTCTGTTCAGGTTTCATATACTGAGCACAGATATCTTCAAAGTGATCCAAGCCATGGTTTAACAAAAAATGCAGAAAGTTCATAGAAATGTGAATAAAAATGAGAGAGAAGGTTATGGTAGCACCACAAATTGCAATATTCTGATATCTGTTTGCTTTTTGAAAAAACAAAACAAAACAAAAGCACTGGAGCCTCAAGCACAGCTTTGGTCAGCTGTCAGTGAAAGTGTTGAAAAGTGCATTATCTTTTATAATTTTGCACATGCCAACATACTGTCCCTTTTTTAAATAAGTATAGGACTAATATGGGGTGGTAACTGAGTATCATTTTGGTTTGGATGATTTGGGGGAATTTTAAATCTTTTGTTAGTATGAAGATTCTGGTCTTAAAATCTAAGCCGTTTTGTGAGCAGTCAAGCAATGTTCTTTTTGTCATTTATACATTCCCTGAGATTTTGGAATTCTGTGGAATGAATGACATCTATCTTTGTGGATACATGCACATTTACTTCTCCTTAAAATAATATGCATATGCCATCACAAGGTACACTTGCTCTTTTTGCCAGCATTTGGCTGCAAGTGTACCTCAGCCACTTTTGCTAGTGACTGGTGTCTTTTTTTCAAGGGACAGTTATTCAAATAAAATTAAAGCTATTGAAGCTGCTAGACTTGTATATATTCCTACAGCTACAAGCACTGGATAGAGGGTTTTTTTGAATTCTGGTAAGATTTTAGTATTTTTTAAACTTCATTACCATACTTACATGCAGCTAGTGTTCAGCTTATTTGTTTACTTGGTTTTTGGGGTTTTTTTTAAACAAAATCAACTTCCTAAGTCACCAGTAATGTCAGTTATACTTATCTAATAAATCAGCACTTGTATACAATACAGGGCCGTGACAAATTATCCATAAATACATTACTCATATACAGCATGGATTAAGTATTCTGTTCCTGCCACAGCTTTTTGGAGGAGATAAGGACAGTGAAGGTAAAATCTCCTCCAGTAATTACCCAGTGTCTGTGCTGGTGATGCAGAGCTGTCTTCTCTGGGAAACAGTGGAGCTGCCCTGTTAAACAGCATACTGGATCACTGTGGACTCTTACATTTTTCCCCTTGGAGGTGGGGGACAGGGAGGAAGAAGGGGAAGAAAAAAAAGGTGCATGCTTTAGTATGGTTAATGCAGATATTACTCAAATTCATTTCCCCAAGCTGCTATATGTGTCTTATTTCTTTTTATCTTCAGGGATATTTATGATGTTTAGAATGTATACTTCACCCTTCTGGTTATTTGGCTCACCTGGATTTATGAGTTGTGCATGTAATTGTTCTATACAAAAGTATGTTCCACCAACCTTCCTTTCCTCTCTTCCCATGTAATTTTATGTTTGGTTCATCTAGCTTTTAAATTTTGGCTTTTAAATTGTTAGTTGCTTACAGCACAGTGACAAGCAAGGAGACTTTGGCAAGGCCTATGCTTCTGTAACATATATGAAGGATCCATTATTCTCCTATAGCAGATGGCTGACAGATTGTGTTAACGTATTTCCAAATGCGTGAGTTAATTGTTTGCATTGTATATGCATTGTGTATATGCTTATTTGGCTCTTTAGCCATTTTCTGCTCAATGAGCCTTGCCCAAATAGGGAGTTTTCTGCAATAGGAGCAACCTCTTTCAGCATCTGCATAGTGCAAGCCCCCAGACATCCAAGCACTGGAGTAACAAGTCTCAGAAGTGATTTTCTTCTATATGAAGTTCACATATGGCTGGTTGAATTATATGAAAATCATTCAAGACTATCGTTCTTCTTTGTAAAGAATTTAAAACAAAGAGGAGAATGTGTGATACTTTGCATCTGTCTTACTGTAATTGAAACAATATTCAGTATTAGAAAAATAAACTACATCCTGTTAACATTGTGTGTGAAGTGGCCTGAAAGATCCTCCAGGACAAAGGTTTTATAGAAGTTGAACAGCATGATCATAATCATATGTATGATCTGTCTGCTTGCTTGTGTAGTGATGTCTAACCTCTGGGATTAAGAAGCAGTTCAGTTGTCTTCTTGTGAGGATTTTCCAGACCTAATAAGACCTTCTGAGAGACTGGGCTTGTTAGTTCAGGCACTGAGCCCCCTGAATATGGATGATCTGCTCTCATGACCCAGACTATTGTGTTTGTGTTGAGCTGCTCTGTTCTGGAGAAGTACAGCACTGAGACTGCCATTCCCTCAGAAACTTTAGCACTGTGCTCTGTGCACAGCACTGATATACAGAGAGATGTAAAGCATAAAGTTGCCATTCATCAGACAGTAATTGAATTTGTACTCTCTACAGTTTTGTATTGAACTTTATAATAATTCTATTCAGTCACAAATTTGTCTTTTTAATATGTTGTTTTCTGCCTACCTCCATCTAGAGTTCAGAAGGCTATAACATGAGCATCCCTATGCCAGGCCACCCAGTGAATTTTTCTGAAGTAATGATGGCACAGGCTCAGAAGGATGTGGCTAAACTTGAAGAGCTTATTGATGCTCATGACGTTGTTTTCCTGCTAATGGACACTAGAGAGAGTCGATGGCTTCCTGCTGTTATTGCAGCCAGCAAGAGGAAGGTATCATACCATACCTTGCTAATATCCTTGTCACTGTATTTCAGCTCTTGCATATCAACCAGCTATGTATACCTAAAAGAACTTAATGGGAAATTGAAATATTTGACCAATATTTTGTGATTGTACAGAATTTTTTTCTTGTTTTCTGTAGCATTACACAGCATCAAAGATTCTGTGTAAGACAGTAAGAAAGTGTTGAAGAGGAAATAGAAACTTGTGTCATGGAATTATACAGGTTGAAAGAGACCTCTGGAGGTGATCATATCCAACTCTGTTCAGAATAGAGCCAACGTTACATCGTGTTGCTCAGGGTCTTGTCTAGTCACTATCTTTTGAGCTTCTCTAAGGGTACATATTTCATAGTAATAACAAGAGAAATAATTTCATAGTAAGACAATCATACAAAGGACTAAAATTATAGTAGTGATTGATAGGGGATGTGAATTGTAGAAACATGTCTGAAACCACATTTTCAAAATATATCTCAAAAGTGAAAAATTAGAAAGTGAATTCTGAACTTTAAAAAAGTATGCCAATACTTCTTTAGCTAAAAGTTAACTTTGGGTTTTTCCTCATTGCCTTATTGGAAAACATACTGTTGTGCTGCTCCAATGCATCCAAACTACCCATGACTCTTACTCAGGTAGTGTTCCATGCTTCAGCTATTTCTGTAACTTAAAAATAATATCCTTATGTTGCAGGCGAAGAATAATGGAGAGGGCTATAGCACGTGAAATTAAGGATGTGAATTCTTATAGTAGTATCTGAAGCTTTAAAGATTATACTCTATATATGAGATTAGGGAGTCTATTTGTATAAATTCTCATGTAGTCCAAATGTTAGAATAACTTTTGTGGTCAGTGTACAGACCTGGTCATACAAACCAGACTAAGAAATAAAACATGACCTTAACAAAATTTTTGCAGGAGAGTAACAAAAGCATATGGGGAGAAGATTTTGAGCCTCTTTTTCCTGTTCTACAAATTTTACTGAGGATTAGACATGAATGATAGAGCCTTTTCTGTGAATGTTATTCTTGAAGACAGTGTGGCACCCAAACTTTTTCTGTGAAAGAATATTCTAAATCACACAGGATTCTGGAAGCATCATTTTTGTCCAGATTATTACAGTCTTGAAAATACGGTTTTGCTGAAGAATGCAGCTAAATTATCCTGAACACATACTTCCCCTGCTATCATGATGTAGACTTTAGTAAAGCAGTCTCAAGTAATCTTGATATTTCTTAATTCAAGAATTATGTGGTTTCATGTTTGCTCAGTTAAAATAGCACAAAATCAGAAAATGCAAGTATTAAGCTTTTAACATGTCAGATTAACCACAGTGCACATCCTGTGTATTTTGTGGCATAAACGTAGTGATGTCCATAGCAATTTATTAAGTGAAATTAACATGAAAGTAAAGGAAAACGTACATGTGACACAGCTGAATCAATGTTATTCGATTCCTGCTTTTTGTATTTCCTGACCTCGATGATTTTTCGGCTGTGACAACTCTAGTTCCCTAATAGTTGTTAGTTGTTTATGGTTTCTTTTGTTTGTGTTTATATTTATTTCCAAAAAACCTGGAAAGCAGAAAGGATACAGAATGCAGATTTGTGGTATTTGCAAATTAGTTTTACCTTATAAATTCCAAGTATGTTCTCCTTTATCATGAAGTTTATGTTAATTTGAACTTAACTAAATTTCCTCTACACCTGCTTTGCAAGTAGTTTTTTTCCAAATCAAACAGTTCTCTCTTTTAAGCCAAGGTCTTAAATTATTTTCTTTTCTTTCATTTGTTTCTTACTTTAAATAGATTTTTGATCCTGAGCAATAGGCTTTTATGTCCTTGTAGCTCAAATGAACTTCCCTTTGCCAGTGAGCTACACTGCCAGTGAAAAGATCAGTGTGTCCCTTTAGTGTGGACTTCACTGAAGTATAACTTCAGGTGTAACTGAGTGTATGTAATTTGATAATTTAAGCAGTTCCTACTTAATCCTGCTGTCTTTTCTGCAGTTTGCACCTGTGGTCTTTCAGCAATCTTTTAGCTGTTTAAAAATAGCACAGAAATGACATAGAGTCAGTTTATAAAGCTGGATATTGAAACTGTAAAGTGCCATCCTACTCTTTTGTATGTATGATGGTTGGTAGTTATAAGCAATATATGCCGTTTGGTATGCAGCCCCTCCGTCTGCTTCAGTCAGGATAGGGGTGTTTTAATGATCTCAAAAATCTTCTTCCCACATTTGCTTAGCTACCAGTCCTCCACTATATTTGCCTTGCAGTATTCAAGTCATACTTTGAGGACAAATTTTGTAATTTCTGTGTGACAATTTCTGATATTCAGTGCCGTAGTGTGTCTGACTGCATCACAGGGATTTTCATAAGATCACTTGGACGTAAGGATTCTCTGTCACTGAATAAGCACAGCACTGAAATTCTCAAGGCATCCAAACTGAAATGCTCGGTATCTGCTTGTACTTCGTGTTGATAAACATTTACTGAGAGCTCTACTTCAAATGTGAACTTGTATGACAGCTGCAGATCTGAAGTACTGCCACAGTTTGGACCCAAGGTCTCAAAACAGGCACATGGGAAATGAAGAACGTAGTGAGTGATAATCTGTGTAAAGTTCTCTATAAAGTGTACATGTGTAGAAGCTTATGCTTTATTTCTTAGCCTGGTTCATATGACCAGTTCTGTGTACTGACCACAAAAGATGTTTTAACGTTTGGACTACATAAGCACTTATGCATGCAGTCTCACTGACCTCATATACAGACTTTAATCTATAAAGTTTCAGATACTATTTTTTTTAAATATAAGAATTCACAGTCTTAATTTCATAGAGTTGGTTTCCCCACATAATCATTCAGTTGTCTTGATGATCTTTGATATTCCTGTAGTCCTTCCTCCCAAAGCAAGTATCTTATCAACACAGAGCTCAAATGTTAAATCTCTGTGTTAGATGTTAAATCTCTGTTCCTGCTGAGCACTGGAACTTTTAAAATTTTGCTATTTTTTTTAAACACATGCCAAAAGATACACTTTTCCATAGTCTCTTTATCAAGAACAGATTTTTTTTTTTTTCAATTAAAGGTCAATCAGTTCAATTCAAATAGTGGCTGGACAGTAAACTGAAGAGAGAGGAACAGTTTATTGTCATGGGAAGTGTTTAGCAATATTACTAATTTCTGATAATACCAGTCATGACATGTTAGTTATACTTTGAAAATGGAATACCATCTTCAAGTTTTACAGGTAGATGTAGTGAAAAGATGCAGTCTTTTAATTGTTTGCTGTAGACTCCTCTGTGCTACCACAGATTCAACAGAACAATTTAGGACTGAGGAAAGAATCAACTGCAACAAGGTTGAAAGTGAATATCCAGAAAGTATTTGAAATACTATGAGTGATGATGAAACTCCCAAGCTTGCTAGTTAAGATGGCTAATTCTTGACAGCTTCCCTCAGAGTCCTTGTTTTAAATAATTCCTGACTGTAAGAATGAAAAATTACAAACTGCTGTACTAGAATTTGTATCCAAAATACTTGCATATGATGCAGTGCAATATTTTCCTTTATATTTTACTGGCTACGGTGATTATTGTTTTTGCTTTTTGCTATATCTAAATCATGGCCTGTAAGTTTAGTAAAATCTGCTGGTTTAAGCATTGTTTTTATGTTATTATGGTTATAATGTATACAGCCTCGCATTACTTTAGGCACTTGTCACAAAATGAAGAGAAAGGGAAAAATGATGACAATGTAATTGTGTACCACAGCTGCTAGTGCTCCCCATGTGACTAAACAGATGCATATGAAGACCATAAGTAATCATTAATTGCTTTCCTCACTGAGCAGAAATTTTTTTGGATAATAGACTTGCATTTCTTTGCTTTGTCACATAGGAGTGTTTAATGAGTTGTATTTCAGACCATAGTGATCTAAAAAGACTACACATAGAATTTCAAATGACATGGAAACTTGTTATTGATAGCCACTGTTGTACTTAAATGGCACTTGGAATATGAATATACAGAATATGAAGCAAACTTGAAAATAAATTCTGAGCTGGAATCAAAATAAGTTTTTCCAATAACGATACTAATTATTGTATGACTGTTGGGCCAAATTTGGATATATGGGTATTAATTCACACCAGTGCATAGCAGCTTCAGTAACTTCTGTAACTGCAGCTTCAGTAACAGTGAGACAGTGAATGTTAGTTGGTGTGAACCTAGTTTCAGATGTAGACTAGCACAGCATATTGATGGATTTTTTTTTTTTTTTTTTTTTTTTTGGTCAGGAAGTGTGCATAGGTTTGTGTAACAATAAGAGAGAGCTTGTAATTTCCATCAAATTTTCCTGAAAGACACAGAAAAAGGTAATGGTTTGTGGATTTCTGAAACAGACTTTTGGGTTGGTTTTGGTTTCTTCTAAATGTTGGACAACTGGAATTTTGCACCTATCAGAAAATCTGTTGTTCATGGCTAGGATGATATATATGCAGTTAATTGGTTGTTCGTCCATCTACAGCATGTGGGGGTTTTTTTGACATTTTCAGTGAATAGAACCTTGAGGCCTTTTCTTCCCTCCCCTTTTGGCTCACTTAAAATCTGTTCTGTCTTTATTGTTCACAGTTGGTCATCAATGCTGCATTGGGATTTGACACATTTGTTGTAATGAGACACGGACTAAAGAAACCAAAACAGCAAGAATCTGGTGATTCATGTTTCAACAATGCTTCTGGTTCTTCTGATCTTTTGGGATCATCACTATTTTCAAATATCCCTGGCTATAAACTGGGTTGCTACTTCTGCAATGATGTTGTGGCACCAGGGGATGTGAGTAGAACCTTATGCAGATGGTGATTATATATCTATTTTGTTGTGACTTGAATTTTTATTTCCTTTAAATGGTGTTTCATAAAGGGGTTTGTTTTATGTTGTTGTACACAAGATTAAGAAATAGTTTATCTTTTATTTGGAAGATCAAAGAAATAAATTGCACACAACTAAAGATGTTTTGTCTAGTCGGGCAGCTAGTTACTTTTGAGTTACTTTTTTCTTTCCTTTAGAATTGTCTATCTTTGTAGTCCACCAGGGATCGGACATTGGATCAGCAGTGCACAGTCAGTCGACCTGGATTAGCCATGGTAGCTGGAGCACTTGCAGTGGAATTAATGGTTTCTGTTTTACAGCATCCAGAAGGGTGAGTCATTTCTGGATTGGTGTTCAGAAGGTGTTCTCTAAGAAATAAGATTTATTTAATATAATCTTTTGGGAGAAGGGGGAGGAAGTACACATCAAGTAGGATAATTCTGTAAGGTATAACATTGCCTGTAAATTAAGGTAATGTATAGCTTGTATCTACTATATTAGTGTAGTTTAACAGTGTTTGAGAGAACTGATTCATCAAATTTTAAGTTTTTATCTTGAACATTGGCAGTTTTTTCTCTGTGAGTTTAAAAGTAGAAAAGTACTGAGAATACTTCAAAAGAAGAAAGTATTCCTGTTAGTGGATTTTGGCATTCCTTTGCTCAAGAGAGTGTTTGACTAATGAGGAGCTACCATAACTATGTATGATACATGAAGAGTTTCAAGATAAGCCAAGTATTGCAAAATCTTATTTAAAATCAAGTGGGTTTGATACAGAAATTACTCTGAAATTCTGAAACCTGAAATTTAGGCTTGTTTTCTGTCTTTAAAATCTGTGAAACAAAAAGTAAATTAGGAGTTGGACATGAGTGTATGTTACAAGTCTCTGAGATTGATTCTGAAAAAGGGTTTTTATATTCCCATCCTGAATCTTAGTTACTATGAAACAGACTTTCCAGATATGTTCCTTTCCAGATTCTAAACTCTAAGCTGTAACAGAATGTCTTGAAGCTTATTGGAAATTTTGACTGTTGAGTATGTCGTCTTGTTCTAATTTTCCTTCTTGGATTTTTGGCAGCGGTTATGCTGTAGCCAGCAGTAGTGATGATAGAATGAATGAACCGCCTACTTCTCTTGGACTTGTTCCTCATCAGGTAAATAACTTGTGAGTAAATGCTTTTGTTTAAAAGCTGGGAAATGATATAAGGCAAACATCAGACTTTGTCTCCTTAACAAAAACATACTATATGCTGATTCCATTCCCTGAAGGACTGACTCTCCATGTTTGTTTAAAAAAAAATATTAAAAATAAATAAATCTGTCACACAGGCCAAGGTAGTTGTGTTCCTGGCATTGTGTCTGTCCCATTTGTGGAAACACAATTCCCCCTAGCTACTTAGCAGGAATTTTTTGGAACAGGCAGTATGTGAATAAGGCAATCTCTGACTTTTCTGTTTCCCATCAGAGGTGACAGTATGGGCATCTCAAAGTTACTTTTGTTTGCTTTTTAAATCCCTTCCAAATTAAAAAAAAATTCAAATCCATCTAACTCCCAATTATTGTGGTTCTCCAAAATATTCATGTATATCTGTGCAATACAGCACTTTTTGTCTTCTGCTCAACCCAAACTCTAGTTACAAATGTGTTAAGGATACTGTTTTTCAAATTGCTGGATAGATTATTTTTTTTTTATTGGTACAGTGCATAAAAAAATTGCCTGCTGATCTTATCCTCATAATCATATCCCCTATGATACTATCATTGGGGATTAAAAGTATTTTGTGCTTCTTTCTTCATGTTGCTATCTGAGTGACTCTGGATGCTTCCACTCTATCAGTAAATCATTTATTTGTTTCTAAGTGGTACTTTTAGATTCTGTTGATACTAGGGGTTTTTTTGTGCCAAGTATGAACCGTGATTCTGAAACAGATAAAGCTACTAGTATGTTGTCTTCTTTGCAATGTCCGAGTAATCACAGGGTTTTTGTGACAGTATATATTAAATCAGTTTAATTTTGTTTATAATTTTATGTAGTAACCAGTGTTTACACGTGGGTCATTTTATATAATGAGGTGCCCCTAAGTTTTCCCTGAGTTCTCTCTCTCCAGTAATCCTGGAGTCGCCCCAGTTCTCTGACAGGAATCTCTCTCCCATACCCCTGAAGTTTTTCTGCTCGTTGCTGTGGACACTGTCAGCTGTGGGATTGGTGGGGAATATCCAGTCCTCAACTGTCTAGTTCAGATACCCTCAGGACGAGACTTTTGTCTTTGTTGGCACTCATCATCTGCTTGTCTGGAAGGTTCTTGACAGTTTCCAACTTTGGCACTGCTTGATAAATTTGTAACTTTCACAATGACTGTCAGGCTACTTTATACCTAAGTTAGTCCCTTATCCTTTAGGGTTATCTGTAGTTCAAATGCTAATGCTGTTGTCAGCTGGGCACAGCCTTTGCCAACAGCTGCAATCTGAGGGAGATTTTTTGACCTCTCATGTCTCAATAGGAAGAAAAAGCCAAACCTAAATCTTGGTCATTTGATGATCCAGGTACTCACTTCTGATTTATCTTTGGAGAAGTTTTTGCTTTCTTAGTTGAAAAATGAATGTAATCATTTCCAGATCTCTGTAATTATCTGAATGTTTCCTGTGATCATATGGGATGGCAATATGAAAGTGATTTTGAGGTGAAAAAGGGTCAGTTTGTTTTGAAAAATAACTTCAGTAATTTTGATGGTTGAATTTTTGTGAGTCTTATACATACACACTGACTTTGTTTCAAAATGGTGACAATACTCCAGACCTCTGGAAAACAGATCTGTAATTTAAACTTTCTCTTAACATCTAAAAGGGGATAGTGAAGAAGTAATTTTTTTTTTCCTCCTGACAAAAAGCTAGAAATATTACATTATGTAGAAATATTTTTTTAGAGTATTTCCCAGTAAACTTTAGAGTGTTTGCTGTTTCTACTGGAAAAAGAATGATCTCACAGTTCATTTATTTCCTGATGATGAGAATGTTAACTGTCCAGTTTTGTCTTATACCCCTATATGATTTTACTTGCATTATTGTTCTGTTTTGGACTATGCTATCAAATATGGATCTTAATCAGAAAACTTTTAATTTAATTATGACTTCTGTCAGCCCTGTATCTGTTTTCACATTTATATTTAATGACTATCATGCATGTCTTCTTTTAGACATTTTAACACAAATAGAAGTTTAGTAGGTATCAAATGAAAATAGAAAATTTTTTTCAAATATAATCCTTCTACAAACTGCTGGCTTCTCTTAGCAGTCCCTCATCTAATAACTCAGTGAGTGCAGTATTTTCTCCAGGGGTGTGTGTATTTTTGTGTTCTTTGTTCATTTGCTTAGCCCACTTGTGTGGAAAAAGAATAGTAATTAATTCATGCATCAGTCCTCTTTATTAAGAAGGTATTCCTTTGTGGATTATAACTGTTGCACACTCATAGTCTGTCATAAATGAACTGAATTTATTTCCAGGGAGTGTCTTGGAGTTCCTAGGATAACAGAAATACAAAGCAAAGTGGTATCAGAAAGACTAAATTTTGTTGCTTTCCTTTCTTATTCTGAGTGGGGGTTTGGTTTAAAAATTACTGTATTTTTGTATTCTAACATTATGTGTGTCTTGGTGTTTCTGCAAAAATACCTTAATGTTAATACGGTTTAAATTGCTGTTGGCTTCTGAGGTTTATGCCATTTCAACTGCATTAAGTTTGTGGAGTGCATACTGAAAATATTTTCCATAATAGGCTTCAGTATTAACTAAGGCATTATTATTTGTATTGCAGAGCTACTTAGGTTGTTCTTAGAGATGTCTCTTTATTGTAGTAGGCCTGTGAAAGCACAGAATAAAAAAGACAATACTCTAAAGAATTCATAGTCTAAAGGATCAAACCCTGCTGCAAAGTGTTTTCAGTGTCATCTCTTACCATAAACAAAGGTCTGGAATTTAAAAATGACATACCAGTAGTATCCTATTAACAACACGGTTTCGGAATGCATGACAGTTAAGTTTTCTCAGATTATATGTTATAGAGATGGGAAACAAAATGTGTTTAGCTGATTATACCATGACTTTTTATTTTTGATCGAACTTTGCAATCAGAGAAGTCAAACTCCAGGTGGTGCTGTGCCTCTATTTCTGTTTAAATAGTGTTGCGTCTAGATAGTTTAGCTATTATTTCTATATAGAAAACCAGGAATATATATCGAATATAAATTTACTACAGGTGTGATTGGGGACCATTGTGTTAGAACAATATGACCTAGTCATAGCCGTTCTTTATTGAGATAGAATTTTTGAAATGTGTTTTGTAATTGTAAAATAGTATTGTAATTATTTTGTCTTCCAGATACGTGGATTTTTATCAAGATTTGATAATGTTCTTCCAGTCAGCCTGGCATTTGATAAGTGCACAGCCTGTTCAACCAAAGTAAGTCTGAGTTTGTCTGTACTTTATATGTACAGAATGGTCTTGGATCTTGCTCTAGGTCAGTCTTGGGGTGCCAAGGACTGCTTTGTATTTGACATTTTCTCTTACTTCCTTAGCACTTGGAATCTATGTTCTGACTTCAGCTAAAGTTCCTTTGCCCTCATACCCTTCCTCTTTACCTGTTTTCCAAATTTCTTTGGCATCACCTATCAGCATTCTATCTGCACATAACTATTGTAGTCAGCTAAAGAAACTAAGCAGAGATTAGGGCCAACACGTTTCTGAAAAGTTTATCACATAAACACCGTCAATATCTTCTAGCTTTGGAGGAAGGAACAAAATTGGTATTGTTTTTAGTTGTTTAAGAAATTATTTCTGATGTCCGATAAATAAATGTGTCTTTTTAGCTTCCTTGAACTTAGTATCGCTACAAATATGCCAAGCTGTCTGAATTTCTGGTTTATGATACAAAACAAATATATAAAGAATGCTAAAGAAAAAAAAAAATTACTTCCATAACATTTCTTTATTGAAAAGACTCTTTCATTTTGATGCTAGTGTTGACAGTCCTGAGTCACCTAATAGATTTACAGCTGTTGCTTGGGTCTGAGCTGTGTCTTGCCAGAACACTAGAGCAGCCCACTAATGTGTCTGTGTGAGGCCTCCTCTTCAGTCTTGGACTGTTTTCCTGTACCGTGGCCTTGAAAAGTTTTTTCTGGCAAGTTTTCTATGGCCATGTAATGCACATTCAAGAAGGTTTGGGATATCTCAATATGAAGATTCAGAGGTTTTGACTCATGATTTGGACTGTTTGGGAGTGCCATTAATTTAGTTCACTTTTATGTACCTTGAGACTTCCTGCAATAAGTTCTTTCTGTTCTTTTTGCTGCATTTGTCCTTCTTCTTTTCAACAGCTATCAAAAACTCTTGAGGCAGTATCATTTTTTTGAGGACTTGCATAATTTCTTCTTCCACAGTGCATCTGACAAGTTTTGAAGGACTGTTAATATCCATTTTCTCCTCAAAAGTTGAAGCACTAAACTTAAAACTGCTGTTATTTTTAGAAACATGTATCTGCCCTCTTGAATAGCTGAAAGCTCAGCAGTAGCTAAAACTTTGATAGTGGAGCCTGAGAAATTGAACTGTTAGAATAAGCTTGTTTCTTTTTTCTTTTTTTTCTTCGATCCAGGACATAGTGATATGTAAAAACATACAGTGATGTAGATAAATTAAATGCAGGTATCAATTTTTTGTTAGCAAATCATTTCCTCTTGGAGGTCATTTTAAGAGAACCCTGTTTTACATAAACAGACTTGATGATTTAATAAAAACTGACTTGGATTTTAGCAGCTGTGCTATTCCCAGAGAGATCACTTTTCATGTGGTTTGGGTATTAAATTACTTCTGTGCTGAAAAGGTTGCTTCATTGGCGCACGTATTTCCTTACAGTAGAAACACAGCATTTGTTTACTTTGCTAACTTTCTATTTATTAGCATAAGAGTATGTCACCCTGTATTATCTGGAAATCTGATGCTAATACTTTGAAATGACAAATCCAATTACAATTTAATTGTAGTCTCTATGTTGGTTTGTTGCTTTTTTTTTTTTAATGCAGTGATTTAGCATAATTTCATCATCTATGTCAGATTTACTGTAGATTCACACTTTCAGCACAGGAGAGATGTCGCTTTTCTGATATAATTGAATTTGCTGATACCTTATCCATTTTCATCTTTCTTATGTCAGCATTCTCTCCTGAGCTCTTGTCACTCTAACTCTTGAAACACAAAACTAATGAATTAGGAATTTTTTTAAAAAATTCCAGTACGTTCTTAAATCATCCAGTACAGCTGGATGACTTAGGAGAAGCAGCTACTGATCTGCATGTTTAGAGATTAGATCCTATTTCAACTCACAGTCATGACTTCATTTCTTAGTTTTTGAAGCTGAAGAGACTAGACGTCCAAGCAGCCAGCTATTCCTTACCCAGAATTGTCCTAAAGAGGCTGCATGCCAGAGAAGCTTCCCACAGGCAATTGTTCAGGAATTTTGGGATGGTCGCAGCAGGAAACTGATCTATTTTTATTCTGGGCCCAAATTTCCTTGTATGATTTCCCCCTCTGTCTTATTCTGGTTCTGCACAAGCATGTGCTAGAATGGAAAGTATTCTCTTTCAGAGTTAACAGCACTGCACTGCCAGTTGAGTAGTAGGTCTGAGGAGCAGTGTAAGCTCTTCTGATGTGCTTTCTCTTCCATGTCAAACTTGCTCTGTTACTGAGAGAATCCAAAGTTCTTTAGTGTAGAAATTTATTTCTAATAACTTCATTACTTACAGAACAAGAATGTTAAGCTTATTACTTACTGTGCTAATTAAGCTGTCTGTTTACCCTCTTGGGAGCAAAATTAGGATATTTTCTCATAATATTATGGTGAGAAGCATTACAATCCCTTAGAAAACTAGAGTGGTAGAGTGTACTGCCTGATCCTTGTAGGAAACTGTCTAAAGCCTTGAAACATCAATGTTAAAATATGTATCTTTCTTAATGCAAAACTTCCAGTGTTTATATTGTAATTAAGGTAATGAAAATTTTCATGCAATTGCTCCTCCTTCCTTGTGCATCATGGAATGAATTCAGAGTTTCATGTCAGAAAAGTCATTGTTACTAACCAACTTGGATATACAGATCCCCCCTCTGCTTTTACATGTAACTCACAGATGTTATTTCCTCCAGAGTTCAGATTTACTGTCCTTGTGCTAGAAAGCTAGCTTATTGTCCTTAAAGATAGTTCTCTACTTCCCCTACTAATATTGTTCTGATGTGTAATTATCTCTACTCTCGAATTTTAAAAAAAAGCGCAGCATAAATATCTCTACTAATTTTCAAGCTCTTTCTCAACTTTCTGTTCAGTATGCTGAAGAACCGAGCTGCTTAAGTTAAATTGTAGTTTTTCACTACTGAGTAATTTTGCTGACATCTTTGAATGTTTTTCAGTTTCATTGCATTTCATGAAGGGGTAGACGCTAGTATCAGGGATGGTATTCTAGGCACTGTTACAATTTCTGTTTTCAGTCAAGATATTTCCCTACCCTTGCAGATGTTTTCCGTTTTTAACATCCCAGGAATACATTAAACACTTTTGCTGTGACATTTAGTAAGTGCCTGTGTTGCATAAGTTATTTATGAGTGTTTCAGTTTTGAAATCTATCATCATGTAGACATAACAATGCTTTTATTGTTCTCATCTGCTAACTGCTTTGCATACATTTTTACTTTAAATGGTTTCACTCAGTTATGACAGTAACCTGCACTACTCAGTAACTTACTGAATTTTTCAGTTGAGATAATTTTGATTCCAGCAAGACTTTTCATATTTGCCCTAGCTGCATTGAGAACAAACGTTCATGTTTGCTTTCTCCCAGTTACAGCATATTGCATGATCTGTCAGGGAAACTTTTAATCTTTTTATATTACACACCTCTCAATTCAAGTATTGTGTTGATGTTAAATAGAGATGTGTAAGTTATGGGGGGAAAAAAGCCTTGGTCTTTCCTGTACTAAAAAAAGCTAAGTCTTGCATAGCTTGCAGAAATTATGGAGGAAATGGGGAGAAATGTTTGTCCTTCAGGAATGAACACTGCAAAATTTAAAAGAATGTTTAAAAAGAGTTATTTCTGTAGCTGTGCTGTAACACTAAGTCTATGTAACTGAGTCCGTTTATAACTCTCCTTATTTCCTGAATTTACATATGTTAACATTTGACACTTCTATGTACAGTGCAGCCTCTGTATTAATATTGGATAGATTTCATTCAGACTTAAAGAACGCATCATTAATATACCTAGGCATATTTTCAGCATACTGAGTTTAAATGTGATGTTTTTCTTACTCTTAAGGTGGCATAGAAATTTGCTTTATGATAAGTGACCTACAGAAATTTATCACCTTTGGTTTTCCTCTTTGAAAAAATGTTACTTTTAACTGGGAGGAGCAGGAGGCAGAATTATCTTGCCCATAACTTTTGAAATCTCAGTCAGTCTTTACCTCTCTGGATATAAATTTTAAATGGAATGAGAGAATAGAAATAATATATATTTTCAAAATTAGTCATGGTGAGGATGGTTTTACTGCTGGTTGCCTGAAAGATGCACATTCTTGAAAATAATGCCTGGTCTTACTATTTCAAAAATACTGAATTTTTATTATAAAGACAACAAAATATAGTATAGATTATCCCAAGTGAAAGGTCACTAACGGAAGCTGTGGTGTGTACTAAGAGTGCCACATCACACACTAAGAAAAGATGACCATTTATGACGGAATTTTATTCCCTTAGAGGAGGGGAAATGCAATCAAGAACCCCAGAAATTTTAACAGTAATATTAACTTTGAACATTACCCTATTTTGTGGACAGAGAAGAGGGTGTGCAATCAGCAGTGTATTCAGTTTTGTGCATTGAAGAAGGTGGGGAGGTGTCTGTACAGACAGGATGGATGTTAATTGAAAAGTGGAACTTAAAAAAACAACCACACTGAAATCTAATATGGTGTGAGAGAGCTCTTTATCTCTGTCCTATATCTGAAAAAAAAATACATGATGTTCATGAAGTATGTGCAGTTCTATGGAGAAGTTATGTCTTGCTCCTCCTTGCTTAGTCCATCGTGATGACTGGAAACATCATAGCTAATCCCGTGTGAAGGCAGTAGTGCCACAGGAACTGCCCTGCACCTAAAACTCCACAAGAAGGGTTGTAAACAGAAGAAACATGGGGAAAGATAGAGCATGTTTATGTTCAATCTTAAATCCTATCATTTACCAAAATTCAGAAAGGAGATTGACATTCCCATGTGTTAGCACTGTTATGGCTAGATTGTAAGAGTTAGAAATGCTGAATGTTTTGCACCAGTTATTCAGCATTGTGGGATGCAGATTTATTGACATTTAATAGATAACAGAGGCTGTTGACACCAAACAGCCTCCCAAAGTCAACAGAAGAGAG